AGCGGGAACACGATTCGGAAGGAGCGGGAGCCCGAAAATTAGGCTAGCGCCTCAGCGAGAGCAGCATTTTAGAAAAAAAACACAAGCGAAAACCCAACTCCGGGGAATCCTGTGTGTAAAAAAACAATACGCGGGGGGGGGCCGAATATCTTCCGGACGCCATCAGGGGAAGTGGGAGAGTAGTATTCATATTGTGTAATTGTGGAGGAGGAGGAGGAGGAGGAGGAGGAGGGGGAGGAGGAGGGGGAGGAGGGGGAGGAGGGAAAGGAGGCGGATGAGGAGATGGAGGAGGAGCACGGCAACGGCTATGAAGGTACCACCACATTAAAATTGTCCTGGCAAAGCAACCTAACAGCGATGTGTAGAAGCATATCTGGAAGCATTCCCCTGAAGATTCAGATGAGAATCCAGTTGTAGAATCCTGCTGTTCTCGCAGTCGCAGGCGCATTCGCGATGACAGTCACAGTGGCAACGGCAGTCGCAGTCACAGCCTCAGCCTCAGCCTGCCTCAGTATCAGCCTGCCTCAGCCACAGCCTCAGCCTGCCTCTGCCTCAGCCGCAGCCTGCTTCAGCCTCAGCCTCAGTCTGCCTTCAGCCTCGGCCTCAGCCTCAGCCTGCCTCAGCCTCAGCCTGCATCAGCCTCAGCCTCAGCCTCAGCCTGCCACAGCATCAGCCTGCCTCAGCGTCTGCCTCAGCTTGCCTCAGCCTCAGCTTCAGCCTCAGCCTCAGCCTCAGCCTGCTTCAGCCTCAGCCTGCCTCAGCCTCAGCCTCAGCCTGCCACAGCATCAGCCTGCCTCAGCGTCTGCCTCAGCCTGCCTCAGCCTCAGCCTCAACCTCAGCCTCAGCCTGCCTCAGCCTCAGCCTGCCTCAGCCTCAGCCTGCCTCAGCCTCGGCCTCAGCCTCAGCAGCCTCAGCCTCAGCCTCAGCCTCAGCCTCAGCCTCAGCCTCAGCCTCAGCTCTCAGCCTCAGCCTCAGCCTCAGCCTCTGCCTCAGCCTCAGCCTCAGCCTCAGCCTCAGCCTGCCTCAGCCTCAGCCTGCCTCAGCCTCCTCAGCTGCCTCAGCTTCTCAGCCTCAGCCTCAGCCTGCTTCAGCCTCAGCCTCAGCCTCAGCCTGCCTCAGCATCAGCCTGCCTCAGCGTCTGCCTCAGCCTGCCTCAGCCTCAGCCTCAGCCTCAGCCTCAGCCTCAGCCTCAGCCTCAGCCTCAGCCTCAGCCTGCCTGCCTTAGCCTCAGCCTCAGCCTCAGCATCAGCATTCTCAGCCTCAGCATTCATTCAAAATGTGGCCCGGGAATGGAGTTCTGGGAGCTCGAAGAGCACGAAGTGGCCTACAGTTAGCTCCGGGCGTTCAAAATGTGGCCCGGGAATGGAGTTCTGGGAACTCGAAGAGCACGAAGTGGCCTACAGTTGGCTCCGGGCATTCAAAATGTGGCCCGGGAATGGAGTTCTGGGAACTAGAAGAGCACGAAGTGGCCTACAGTTGGCTCCGGGCATCCGGGAATGGAGTTCTGGGACCTCGAAGACCACGAAGTGTGTAACTGTTTGCTTAAAACGACTTCCGCGGGTTCTCCCCGGCACCCGACCAGACCCCCCTGGGGAGTCAAGATGCTCTCTTTTGACACTACTAGAAACCTATCAGTCTTCGCTGTTAGGTAACATGCAAGCACGGAGGAGGAACAAAAAGCAAACTAAGCAGGGGTCAAAGTCCTCCTCGGGGGGCGGCACAAGCTGCAGTCTGCGCTCCAGCGCACGAGCCCCGAGGGACGCAGCCTCCTCCCGGGAGCCGAACCCGAAGAGCGCAGCAGGAGGCCTTCATAGCCGTCGAGGGGTCGTCCGACCGCGTTCCCCTCTCTTGGCTCCAGCGCGTGGACCTCGGAGAGTTCCTCCCAGCGGAGGCCGACGGCCCGAGTTGTCCCCTGCATGCGGGCGGCGGTCCCTCGGACGCGGGCGGCGTGGCGGCCCCTGCTGTCGGTGCGGATGCCAACGCCTGGGAGGGCCGCAGGCCCTGGCACTCTCGCGGCCACTCCGCGGCACCCTCGGAGCGCCCATCGAAGGCCCCGATCGGCAATTTTCTGCACGACGCGTGGATCCGTCGGCCACCCTGGAGCGGTGAGGGATCGCAGTGCTCTCTCGTCGGATTGCCCCCCCTGGTGCTCGCTCGGGCGGTCGAGAGCGGCAATTGGCTTGGACCTCGCGCGGGAAGCACCAGTCACGTCGCGATGGGCGTGTTGGCCCGCCGGCCTCCCTCTCGGACTGGAAGAAGGAAGCCATGGCCCCCAAACTTGGGCTGCTAGAGGTGCCTCCTCTCGGCCCGGCCCCCCCCGTCGCTTCGGCAGGTCGGCCCGACCTTGTCCGAGGCCTCGCCCTTGTTGGCTTCTCCGCCGAGGCCGAGAGCCTAGGGGCGCGGGTGCTTGCAAGGTGAAAGCGGGCAGGCCTCTCGGACGGCTTGGACGATGAGGAGGAGGGGTAGGTTTTTGTTGATTGATTGTGATGCATGTTTCAGTTGGTGTGCAGACTCTGCAGGAGGCGGTGCTCCTCCTCGTTCGCCTCCTCCTCCTCCTCCTCCCGGTTCTCGTCCTCGTCCTCGTCCTCGTCCTCCTCCTCCTCCTCCTCCTCCTCCTCGTCCTCGTCCTCGTCCTCCCCCACAATAACCCAATCTGAATACTACGTTCCTCTTTCCCCTGGTGGCGTCAGGGGAATATTCGGCCCCCATCCGCGTGCTGGCTTTTTATACACAGGATTCCCAAGAACTGAATTTTCGCTGGGGTATTTTGTTTTCAAAATGCTGCTCTCGCTGAAGCGCTGGCCTCATTTCCGTTCTACCGATTGTTCCGAATCGTGCTCCCGCTGCAGCGCTGGCCTCATTTCCGCGCTCTTGCTCGTTCCGAATCGTGCTCCCACTGCAGCGCTGGCTTCATTATTTCTAGCGCCATGCCACGGCAGGGTCTTCGGTCCTTTCAAATAGGCCCCAAAATCAAAAAAAATTGCCCCGCGAAGAAACCATCGGAAGTGATTACACATTCGGTGTCAATTCCTTGATTTCTGGGGCCGCAGAAGCCCCCATCTCACTTTGGGGCATCGCAACGCCATGCTATGTCAAGATACGCGTCCTCATTTCCGCGCTTCCGCGCTTGGGCATTGTTTCAAAGTGCTGCTGAAACGCTGGCCTCAACTTCGGGCTACCGCTCATTCCGAAGCATGCTCCCGCTGCAGCGTTGGCCTCATTTCCGCGCTCCCGCTCGTTCCGAATCGTGCTCCCGCTGCAGCGCTGGCGTCATTGTTTCCAGCGCCATGCCACGGCATGGTTTTCGGTCCTTCCACATACGCCACACAATCTGGAAAATAGCAGCCCGAGCAACGATCGGAAGTGATTACACCTTCCGTGTCGATTCGTTGATTGGTTGGGCCGCAGCAGCCCACCTTGGTGCGTCGCCACGCCATGCTATGTCATGCTACGCGTTGATATTCAACACCATGGTATGCCATGCAATGCTACGCCATGCTACGACATCCGATTGTGCGAAAAGGGAGGAGATCTACGCCATGGTAAAGGATGGGAGGGGGGTAGAACATCAGATATGACGCGAGCGCACCTAGCTTGTCCTCCTCATCCTCTTCCTCCTCCTCCTCCCTCCCTCTCTTCCCTCTCCTCGCTCTCCTCGCTCTCCTCGCTCTCCTCTCTCTTCTCGCTCTCCTCCCTCTCCTCGCTCTCCTTTTCTCCCTCTTTTGGGGCGTCGCCACGCGCGCTTGGTCCTTTTTTCAAAATGCTGCTCTCGCTGCAGCGCTGGCCTCATGTTCGGGTTACCGCTCGTTCCGAATCGCGCTCCCGCTGCAGCGCTGGCCTCATTTCCTCGCTCCTACTCGTTCCGAATCGTGCTCCCGCTGCAGCGCTGGCGTCATTATTTCCAGCGCCATGCCACGGCATGGTTTTCGGTCCTTCCATATACGCCACACAATCTAGAAAATGGCACCCCGAAAAACTATCGGAAGTGGTTACACATTCGGTGCCGATGCGTTGATCGTTTGGGCCGCAGCAGCCCACCTTGGTGCGTCGCCACGCCATGCTATGTCAGGCTACGCGTTGATATTCAACACCATGTTTTGACATGCAATGCTATGCCATGCTACGACATCCGATTGTGCGGATAGAGAGGAGATCTACGCCATGGAAAGGGAAGGGAGGGGGGTAGAACGTCAGATATGACGCGAGCGCACCTAGCTCCTCCTCCTCCTCCTCCTCCTCTTCCTCCTCCTCCCTCTCTTCCCTCTCCTCACTCTCCTCGCTCTCCTCGCTCTCCTCCATTTTCTCGCTCTTCTCCCTCTCCTCCCTCCCCCTCTCCTCCTCCTCCCCCTCCACCCTCCTCCTCCTCCTCCTCCTCCTCCTCCTCCTCCTCCTCCTCCTCCTCCTCCTCCTCCTCCTCCCCCTCCTCCTCCTGATCCTCCTCCTCCTCCTGATCTGCCTCCTCCTCCTCCTCCTCTCCTCCTCTTCCTCCTCCTCCTCCTCCTCCTCCTCCCCTTCAAGTGGCGACGACAACGGCGACGACGACAACGGCGACGGCGACGGCGACGACGGCGGACGACGACGGCGGAGGACGACGTCGACGACAACGACGACGGCGACGATGACGACGACCCGAGACATCTCGTCAATTTTTTCACAACGTGGCTCCTCAAAGGTCTGGACCCCTCTCCTGCGGGATTGGCTTGTCATCACGAAGCGTTTTTCGACAGTCCCAGGGCCCAGCGAAGGCCCCCCGAGGTCGAAACAGCGAAAAAACATCCGCCATGATTTTTGTTCACAACGTGGGGGGGGTCTGGGACGACGACGACGACGATGACGACGACGACGACGGCGGCGACGATGACGCTGACGATGACGATGGCGACGCCGACGCCGACGCCGACGCCGACGCCGACGACGACGCCGACGCCGAGGACGACGACGACGCAGATGACGACGACGATGACGACGACGACGACGACGACGACGACGACGCGTAGCGC